GAGTGTGTGTGATTGTATGTGCTGTGTGTATGAAGAGTGTGTGTGATCGTATGTGCTGTGTTTATGAAGACCATGTGTGATTGCATGTGCTGTGTGTACGTGTAAGTGTGAGATTCGTGTGATGTGTATACCATGGTGTGCACGTGGAGCTCAGAGGAAAGGCTTCAGGAGTTTTCTCCTTCTCCCATAGAGTCCAGAGATTGAATTCAGGTCACCAGGCTTATTCGTGTCCTGATTTGCTTTCTGTTGCTGCGATAAGCATCACCATCGAAACCAGCCTGGAGAGGAAAGGGTTTATCCGGCTTACACATCCTGATCACAGTCTATCACTGAGTGAAGCCAAGGCAGGAACTTAAGCAGGGCAGGAACCTAGAGACAGGAACTGAAGCAGAGACAGTGGGCGAGTGCTGCGTTCTAGTCTGCTTCCCAGTGGCTTGCTCAGCCTGCTTCCTTCCATAATCCAGGACCACCTTCATCAGTCGTTAATCACGAGAATGCCCCACAGACTTATGTAAAAGCCAATGCGATGGAGGCATTATGTTTTCTATCGTGGTTCCGTCTTCCCAGATGATTGTAGCGTGTGTCAAGTTGACCAAAAAAAACCAAAAAACCAAAGCAAACATAACAAATAACCAACTCCCCAAAATAAAACAAAATAAAACAACAACAACAAAAACCCAGTACAACTGATTCCTCATCAACTTGACATACAAACATATCGCTATCATAATCTTTCCTTCCTTGTGTGTCCCCAAGATGTCATGTTAATACTGATGTCATGGGCTGGGAGTGGTGATGCACGCCTTTAATCCCAGCACTTGGGAGGCAGAGGCAAGTGGCTCTTTGTGAATTCTAGGCCAGCCTGGTCTACATAGTGACAGGACAGCCAGGACTATATAGAGAGACCCTGTCTCAAAAGAAAAACCAAACTAAACAAACAAAACTCCCAAATAGCAACAACAACAACAACAACAGAAAACAAACAAAGATTAGTGTCACAATGTGAAACACAGTCCTATTTGTTTTTCAAGTCCCACAGTCTTTTCAAAAGAGAATTTCATACTAGAGAATGACTTAGCAAGTAAGAACACTGATTGCTCTTTTAGAGGACCCAAGTTTGATAACCGCTGTCTGCATGATGGCTCATAACTACCTATAACTCTATTCCAGGGGATCTGATACTTTCTAGTCTCTGGGGTACTGCACACAGATAGGCAGGAAAAGCAGCCATATACATTAAAAAATAAATTCATCAATTTAAAAGTTCAAGTTCTCAAAAATAATCAAAGTGTCTAACTGTGGGTTCCTGGTTGTTGTTGTTTTTTTTTTTTTTTTTTAAAGTTTTACTTTAAGAACCAAGGTTACAATCAGATCAAAGCAAAAAGCAAATTGTAACGGTCTAAGGAGTTCAGTGGCCAAGGTCTGGGTCCCACTCTTTTTGGACTAAGAAGGTATAAGCAGCTTCACTTCTCCTCCTTCCCCCTCCCCTCCCCCCCCCCCCCCCCCCCCCCTCCACCCTCCCCTCCCATAGCACACACAGCTTGTCTTGGAATTGCAGGCTGGCACCACTTCACCCCTGCTGCCTTCCTCCATCCCACAGTCTGGACATGGGCCTTACAGGGTCTCCACCTGCAGCTGAGCCTGCACCTTTGTCAATGACTTCTCTTCAATGTCAATGACTTCTCTTCAGGGATGCTGCAACCCTGCCATGCGGTGCCAAGCCTCAGCTGCTGTCCACGACCCCTTCATGCCTTCAAAATTAGTATTTTTTTTTTTTTTAAGATTTATTTATTATGTATACAGAGTTCTGCTGGCATGTACACTTGCACATCAGTAGAGGGCATCAGATCCCATTACAGATGGTTATGACTCACCATGCAGGTTCTGGGAATTGAACTCAGGACCTTTAGAAAAGCAGCCAGTGCTCTTAACCTCTGAGACATCTCTCCCCCCCCCCCCCCCCCCCCAAATTAGTATCTCACTGGAGACTCCTTAGACATTATGAAGTTCCAAGTTCAGGTGGAGCTTTGAACTGTTTTCAGACCACAGCTTTTGTGTGCTGGCCCCGAAGATCTCACTTTGATGATATTGATGAGGTTAGGCTCTTATTAATTAGAGCAGATTTTTAAGCCCCCACTAACTAGCATTGATTATCTCAGTGCACAAACTCTTTCATTTCACAAACTCTTTTTGTTTCCTTGCTTATTTGTTTGTTTGGTTTTTTGTTTGTTTTTGTTTGTTTTTGAGACATGATTTCTCTGTGTATCCCTGGCTGTCCTGTAACTCACTCTGTAGAGCAGGCTGGCTTTGAACTCAGAGATCTGCCTGCCTCAGCTTCCCAAGTCCTGTGATTAAAGACATGCATCACTTCACCCAACCTCACTTTCATAGAATTTTTTTTAAGATTTATTTATTTATTTATGTATGTATGTATTTATGTGTTTATTTTGTATAAAGCATTCTGCCTGCATGCATGCCTGCAGGCCAGAAGAGGGTACCAGATCTCATTACAGATGGTTGTGAGCCACCTTGTGGTTGCCGGGATTTGAACTCAGGACCTCTGAAAGAGCAGTCAGTGCTCTTAACCTCTGAGCCATCTCTCCAGGCTTTACAGAATCTTAGTTGAAAATATCACACAAATGGCTATGATAAGGTCTTTAAGGGACTCTGAAATTTCCCTCTGGAACTCCACAGGCCAGGTCTGTTATTTGCATTCCTCTCGGCATTGTCTACAGGACAACTCTTCAATCTCTGAGTACCCAATAGCTTTTCCAGCCCAAAGCTCCAAAGTCCTATAATTCCCCCAAAACAACATGGCTACACCCATCCATGAGTCCTCTATTCCTGGTATGAGGATTGGACTACTTTGCTTTCCTGTTGCTGTGATAAACACTGACCAAAAGCAACCTGGAGAGGGTAGAATGGCTTTGGCTTTTATTGTTGAATCCACGGTCCACCCTTGAGGGAAGCCAACTCAGGAGTTTAAGCAGAGCCACCATGGAGGGGCACTCCTCACTGTTGGGACAGACAGTACTGCACAAACCGGGCTGGGACATCCCAAATTAGTCAAGAAAATCCCCCACAGACTTGTCTACCAGACACTATAATGGAAGTGGGTTTTTCAAGTGAGATTACATTCTAGCAAATGATCCTCACTATTGAGCCGAGTTGACAAACACCTAACCAGAATATGGGGCAATCACTTCTACATGCTGGGCCATCTTGTCAGCCCCTGCCCTTCTGAAGTAGGCATGCAATATAGTGTAAAATGTTTAGTTCAATCCCTAACAGGAAAAGACCGCTCATCAAGGTGAGGGAGGCATACTTGGAATTGAACAACTTAAAAAAAAAATTAGCGGGAGGATCAGGAGTTCAACATATTTTTGGCATAATACTCTTTCGAGGACAGCCTGAGCTGCCTAAGGCTTTTGCCTCAAAGGTAAGGAAGGGGTGAAGGGATAAATAGCTAGGGAGAGGTTGTAGTGGGATGTTCCAGCTCCTAGAGAAGTTAGGACCAAATCAACACATCAGGGTCCAGTCTCAGAAAAGTAATAAAGTCATAACTGGTAGTTGCTATAACGTAGATGAGCTTTGAGAACATTAAGCAAAAGAAGTATGATCTCATTGATAGGAAATGTCATAATTTTTAAGAAAATCATTTAGTGCTTGCTAGGGGCCAGGTATAATGGTGTTTCCCTAATTGGAACTAGATGGTAGCGGTTGCAGAGCATTGGGTATGTACTGACTGTGACGCAGTCCTACACTTGAAAATCATTATCATGGTACATTGAATGTTACCTACACTCAACACAATCAGAAAGATGTGAAACCTTTTCTATACTCTCTCAAAACCCGGTTCATTATCATAGCTCATTGCAGACAGGTCGTGTATGGCTCGTACTGCAGTAGTCGTTGGTAGGGTGGGTCTTAATTTTGCAGAACAGATTTACCGTGGGTACGAGTGGTCTGTATAACATTCTGTGTGGTGTTCCTCTGCCATTGGTGGTACTCAGTGAGTCAGAAATCTTTGAAAGACACTGCTGAATGATGAGTAGCACTTACGGCTGTAGTATAGGGTGAAATTCGTGCTTGTAGCTGTGTATGCAGACCATTTGTTGGTAATTGTTTTGGTTTTATTTCCTTAGATAGGGTTTCTGTGTGTATCCCTGGCTGTCCTGGAACTTACACCTGGCCTTGAACTCAGAGAGCCTCCTGTTGAGATTAAAGGCATGTGACACCACCACCTGGCTGTGTTTTATCCTTTTAATTCAGGCCTGGATGGCCTTGGCTTTGGTTTGGTGCTATCCTTCTGTCTCTACTTTCTCAGCTTTTAAGTTACAGTTCTGTGTTACTCCCGGCTTGGGTACTCATTTTTGATCAGGAAGATATTTCTCTGACCTCTAGAGAAAGTAAATTTTCTTTTTTTCTCAGTGTTTTTCTGGGAATTTCACAATGAAGGGCTCTGATTAGACTGAAGTCACTCCAAGCTCAGTGTTGCTGGATGCTTGACGTCTCCGATGTGCTCTTGGCTGTTTACTCTGGTGAGGTTTCAGGGTATCCTTTGAACATAGAGACAATGAAAAAATGTTACATGGACAATACTTAATTTCTTTTGTGTGTGTACAGATATGTGTGTACATGCAGCAGTATGCACCTGTGTGTGTGTGTGTGTGTGTATCTATGTGTGCATGCTACATGTGTGTGCATGTGTGTGTGAAAATGTAAGAGTTCATGTGCCAAGGAATTTGCGTGGAGCTCAGAAGACAGCCTTGAGTGTTGGTCTCACCCTTCTACCTTGAGATGAGGTCTCTATTTTCTGCTGTGCAAGCATGGTAAGCTGTCCTGTAAGCTTCTGGAGTTTTCTTGTTTCTGCCTCCAGGCTTGCTGTATGTTGCCTTGTTTACATGGGTTCTGGGTGTTTGAAGTCTGATTCTGCACTTGCATGACAAGTACCTGAACAACCTCCTCAGCCCCTTCTTTAATTTCTTACTGTCAAGGCAGACTTGGACATGGTGAAAATCATCCTGAAAAGTCACTGTCTGTGTATTTCCCCTTAGTGGTGCTTGTGGAGAGGTAAAGATGGCTTTTGAGAGGAAAACATGTAAGAAAGTGGCCATAAAGATCATCAGCAAACGGAGGTTTGCCCTTGGCTCATCGAGAGAAGCCGTAAGTACCTGTGTTGGCTGCCACCCGACTCTCACACTTCCTTAAGTAACTCTGGAGTATGTCTCAGTCTCAGGAAGCCTGGATAGCTTAGATGTAGCAATTTTTGACTGCCAAGCAAGTGTCTTTTAGTTAATCTAGAAACTTATTTATAAATTAGTTCTAGAAATAGTTGGTTGTACATCATCCTGTGCATAGAAGGAGGCTTTTTTTCTTATTCTAAAGTAGCTATGAAGGGATGGGGGAGAAGTGGGTTTGTCTAATGGTCAGTGCAGCCTCACGACTGCCTTCTGCCTCTCTTATCTTGGTGGAGACACTGTGGTGTTTAGAGACAGATGAATTCATCTCGTTCAGACAGGTCACCTTTCCCTTCTCAGCATGCGCACCTCACAGAAACTGCTCCTGGTCATTCATGGGCTTGATTACAGTGGTTTAACTGCAGCCTGTCCTTTTGAGCATTGAGTGAAGTAACTCTTGGTATATTGTAGCAGAAATGAAACTTGTTGAGAGTTAAGAGGTCTGGTGAGAAGAAAAAATGGTCGCAGGAAAGCTGGGTTTAATCCTGACTTAAGTGCTATGATCAATATTTCTTTTGAAAGCATTTGTTAAAGTGTAAAATGCTCAGTACCTACAGTGTAGCATTTTGACTCATTCTACAAATTATGGTGATTACTTTTTACTTCAAAGCATTTTTTTTTTTTTTTTTGAGATTATGACTCTCACATAGCTCAGACTGTCCTCGAAAGCCTCTTCTGGGGTGCTAGAATTGCAAGCATGCACTACCATTCCTGATAGAGGCGGCACTGTTTATTTTCTCTCAGTTTGATGGTGTAGTTCCCCTGACTGCAACTATGAATTTGAAAATAGTAAAGGAGAATTGGAATCTCTTTCCCTACGCCCTGCTGACCCCATTTGCTCTGTAAGGTCTTGTGTGTTTTCCAGTCAGTCAGTTGCATTTGAAACACTTTGCCTGATATGATTCAGTTCTGAGGTGACCACTACATATGTTCTGGATAATTTCAGACAGATTTAAATAGATTCTCAAAGATATCACTGGGAAGGAATGCCTCGAACTTCTTTTTTCTTTTCTTTTTTTTTTTTTTTTTTTTGGTTTTTCGAGACAGGGTTTCTCTGTGTAGCCCTGGCTGTCCTGGAACTCACTCTGTAGACCAGGCTGGCCTCGAACTCAGAAATCCGCCTGCCTCTGCCTCCCAAGTGCTGGGATTAAAGGCGTGCGCCACCACTGCCCGGCAAATGCCTCGAACTTCATCATGATTTATGCAGATAATTCTTTGCTGGTTGTTGAGGTAACTTCAGATCCTTTGTCCTTTTGGGTCTTGTGGCAGTGGCTAGGAGTTAGTTATAGAAACACATTTCTATAAAACCCAGGGACTCAGGAATGACAGACCCGTACTCTTCCACTGAGATGACATTTTTAGTTCTCGGTTGCAGGTTTTTAGGATGTAAATTATTTTTATGTAGCAGCTGTTTATCGCTTTTTCTGTAATCCACATTGACCGAATGAGTGAAGTGGCTAACTATAGTGTTTCTTTCCACATATAACCAGACAAAGTAAGGCAAAAGCAGGGCCCAGGCACTTCTTCCTTTCTAGCCAGCTGTTTCTGGCTTTAACATTCTTCAAATTGTTTTCCCCAAGATAATTCTATTCTTACATGGCAGGAGGAATTTCCGGTCTGTGTTCAATTCGTTATAGATCTTTGACCTCACAATTCTGGATTTGCTTCCCATTTGGGGGTGGGGGGAAGGATATCTCCTAGGTTGTTGAAAACTTAGAACCAATCTTTATTTCTTAATTGTTCTCTTCCATTCATTGGACTCTGTATGACCTCTCAATTAACAGAACCTCCTCACCCCCACCCCTGCCCCTGCAACATAGTAACCAGTTTGAGAGCAGAAAGATAAAGTCTGGATTTAAACATTTTCAGTCTGGGGGCTGGGGATGGAGAGATGGTTCAGTGGTTAAGAGCACTGGCTGGCCCTCTAGATGATCAGTGTTCAATTCTTAGTGCCGCCATGGTGGCTCACAGCAGTGTGTACAACCCTAGTTTCAGGGGACTGGATACCCTGACACAGACGTACATGCAGGCGAAACACCAATGTATATAAAATAAAAGTGAAAAAAGTAAACATTTAAAAAAATTTGAACCTGGGTTTCCTAGCTAAAGTCCATTTTACATAACTATGTAGTCTTGTCTCCTCTGTATGAGCAGAGCCTGGTTTGTAACTCACTCATCCTAAATGAAGCCTAACTATCAATATATTTTTAAAATACTGGCCATTATGATTATTGTTACTAATGAACTCTAATGCTGTCCTGTTTATTTAAGGACACAGCTCGCAGTGTGGAAACTGAAATAGAAATTCTGAAGAAACTAAATCATGTAAGTAGCACTGTCACTTGTAGTAACTTGTCTCAAAATACGGGAAGTGTATAGAGTGTTGCCGTAGGAGGCTAGTTTGGACTCCTTTGTATGTACGTGATAATACCCATGGGCCCAGCTCTTATTTACCTCGGACCACTTTTACTTCAAAGTTTTAAGAATTCAGTCCTGTGTAAAAAGCCTCATGACTTCATGATTTAATACTCAGTATTTTTATTGAGACCTTGACAAAAAGCTTATAAGGATTAGTTATATTTGCAAAGAAAATGCAAATTTAATGAGGTTATATCTGAAATTCGGGTCCTTTTAAATAAATACCTTTTATTTGAAGTAATTCCGTTAAACCCATGGAGTCTGACAGGAAAGAAGAATACGATTGTTACATCTGATTCGTAGGCGTGGGGAGCCGTGTTGGATATAAGTGGTCCTTACCTATTTTGTAAGGATGACTTTGTCTGTGAAAGTCACGGGGCTGTAGCACACGGGTCTGATACTGGCTTCTCAGCTTCTCTCAGTCTCTTCATAATAATCCATAATGCTCGCTCAGTAGGTGTTGGAGTTCAACTTGACCCACATCTTGCCAGAGTAACTAAGGATTTCCTCTTCTCTCTTTTAACCTCCAGTCAGAATTTCTTTTCTCGCTTCCACCTCCTTACTTCCCATTAAGAGCTAGAAGGTTTATTTACTCTAGATTACTGTGTTCGATACAATGTCTCCACAGCCTGTTTACAACTCAGTGGGCCCGCTAACCCTCCGCTCTCCAGTGGCCAGCCTTCATGCTTGTCTAGCCTGTACTTCGTGTGCAGCTTCTTCTCTTTCCCCTCCTTCCCTTCACTGCTCTCCTTGCTTCCGTTTTCCTTCTGCCTTTTCTCCCCCTCCCCAACAATCCCCCTTCTTCCTTTACTTTCTTTTTGTTGTTAGGAGACAGCCCTCCCTTGTTACCCTGGCAAGTCTGGGAATACTGGACTCACGTGATCCTTCTGTCTCCACCTCTTGAGTGGAGTTTGTTTTTGTTCTTTTCGACAGGAACTGGCTGAATTGGCCAGGCTAGGCCCTGATTCCTGGCTCAAGCAATCTTCCTGCGGCAGCCTGCTTTGCCCAGTTTTTGTTTTCGTTCTTTTTAAAAACACATTCACTGTTGGCAGGATGACTCAGAGGGTGAAGGAGCTTGCTGCCAAGCCTGGCCATCTGAGTTTGATCCCTAAGACTCACATGGAGGAAGGAGAGAACTAATTCCCCCAAGTTCTCCAACCTCCACACATGCTTCCGTGATACAGATACAGACAGACAGACATAATTAAGCGAAGAACCCCACAATACATTCCAATTACAACATACCATCTCCCTAAATGTTTTATTGGTTATTTCGAGCCTTATGAAGGTAGAAGTCTCTCAATAGCATTCGGCAGTCTTTCCAAGTCCACGTTGGGAAGCTGTGGGTGCTCACTGACTGTCCTACAACAGTTCACTGCAGGAAGACGGGCATACAGAGTAACAGTTACAGGGAGCCATGAAGAACTTGGCGATGAGTCTTACCTCTCACAGTCTCAAACCTGAAAGGATTCTAGGCTCTCTCTTTGAGTCTCTTGTGATCGGTCCTCCATGCTGGCTTCTGTATTCCTGATAGTCAGTCTGTTTCTTACATGGCACTGAGTTTAGCTGTCAATTTTAAACACAGGTATGGTAAGTGGAAAAATCGTAATGCTAAATCTGCATTCTAGAGAATCTAAAACTGTTCCTTCCCTGCCCACAGTGCCGTGTCCCCTGCACAGATGATAAACTATTAACCATGCTTGAAAGGTCTTATACAGTGAGAGGATCTTATCATACAGGTTCCATTCTTCACGGCTCAAGTGCTGGAGCTGCAGGAATCTGGTATCTGGGAGTATAATTGGGCTTTCTTTGTTATTGGTTGTCTTGTTGCCCAGGCTAGCCTTGAACTTGCTTTATAGCTGAGACTGGCCTTGAATTCTTTTTTGTTTGTTTGTTTGTTTTTTGTTTTTTGAAACAGGGTTTCTCTGTGTAGTCCTGGCTGTCCTGGAACTCACTCTGTAGACCAGGCTGGCCTCAAACTCAGAAATCCGCCTGCCTCTGCCTCCCAAGTGCTGGGATTACAGGCGTGTGCCACCACCGCCTGGCCCCTGGCCTTGAATTTTTGATTCTTGATTTTCTTTCCTTGCTCTCCCAAGTGCTGGAATTACAAAATAGCTTCATGGTCTGTCTGATCTGTCCTGTTGAGAAAAGAGATTTGACTCTTATGCTGGGATTGAATTTTGGATCTCAGACCTGGTGAGAAAATACCCCACCCCAACCCTGGAGTACCCAGCTACTGCTGTTTTTCATGCCTCTTGTCAGGTTCCTCAAGTCCTGATTTGACGAATGAGAAGGAAGTCCGGGAAAACCTGCCATCATGCCTTAGGCCGGCTCCTGTGCAGGCGTGAATTACCCCTTACTTACTCTGTACGAAGATGTGTTTCTTGTGTGAGTTCTCAGTGAAGAGTCAGCTGCCTTCCATCTGCCTTCTCCTGTGCTCAGCTCAGCAGCATTTCCAGACAAGGACCCAGTGTCTGCTCTTCATCCTCCGATGCCTCAGGTTCTGTGTCTGAAGGTTTCCTTTCTGGAGTTTCTCATTTTTCTTTTCTTCTCTCTCATAGCCCTGCATCATCAAGATTAAAGATGTTTTTGATGCAGAAGATTATTACATCGTTCTGGAATTGTAAGTAGTAACATTTAAATTTATGCTTCCATGTAACTTTCTTTTTTTTTTTTGGTTTTTCGAGACAGGGTTTCTCTATGTAGTCCTGGCTATCCTGGAGCTCATTCTGTAGACCAGGCTAGCCTCGAACTCAGAAATCTGCCTGCCTCTGCCTCCATGTAACTCTTATAAGCCAGTAAAGAATTAAATGCAGATTATTCAGGTGGTGGTGGTGGCGCACTCACTTTAATCCCAGCACTCAGGAGACAGAGGCAGGTGAATGTCTGTGAGTTCAAGGCCAGCCTGGTGTACAGACTGAGTCCCAGGACTGTCTAAAGAAAACAAAGACAAATATTTTAAATTTAATTTTGTTATTATTGTTTAGCTCAGAGGGATTAAGTAGCTCACCCAAAGACATACAGCTATGAAGAATTGAACTGGGGATCAGACCCAGTTGTCTTGCCCAGCTTGGTTATCTATTTCCCCTCCACCAGCACGTAGGAACACTACAGGAATACAAATCTCTGGGGCTCTCTCCAGCTTCTGGAATTAGATTTTTATTTTTTATTTTCTCCAGCTTCTGGAATTAGATTTTTATTTTTTATTTTCTCTTTTGGGTTTTCAAGACAAGAGTTTTTCTGTGTAGCCCTGGCAGTCCTAGAACTCTGTAGACCAGGTTGGCCTCGAGCTCAGAGATCTTCTTCCAAGAGCTAGGATCAAAGGTGTGTGCCAACACTTCCCTAGTAAAGTCAGATTTTTTAAAGTTCCCTGTATATTCCATGTTTCCTTCTTTTCCTACTGGGGCATCTGATTATGGATGAGGCTTATGAGATCACTAACTTGTCACAGGATTTATGTTTGGTTATTTTTAGTGAACGCGTCTGTGCGAGTATTGCCCATAGAGGTCAGATGTGGGCTTTGGTCTCCCAAGATGGAGTTACAGGCAGTTGTGAGTTGGACATGGGTGCTGGGAACTGAACTCGGGTCTTCTGAAGGAGGAATGAGAGAAATCAGGACGCAGTCCTCCAAGGTGTGGTTGAGGAGGAGAAGGTTTTTATTGTGTATTTAAGGGAGAGCACGGGCAGAGGCAGCTGGAAGAGTCCAGAGCAGGGAGGGAGAGGAAGAAGCAGATGAAGCATGGCCAAGAGACTGAACCTGGCCATGAGAGAAGACAGACAGGACGGGAGAAGTGTGGAAGGGGAGAGAGGGGGAGAGAAAAAGGAGGAAGGGGATAGGGAAGGGAGGAGAGAGAGAGGGGAAGGGGTGGGAGAGAGGAGAGCAAGTCCCCAAAGAGGAGAGGGGGAAGGGGGATCTAAAAGAGCTCATGGCTGGAAGGCAGGGTTAGATGGGAATGAGAGGCTGAGGGAAGAGAGGTCATGAGGAGGTCTAGGGTGGGGGTGGGGAGAAAGGAGCTGTGAGGAGTCAGGGTCCTTTGAGAGTGAGTAGAGTGAGCCTGAGGCCAGCCCATGCCCAATACACTGATAGCCTCTCCTTGTGAGTTTCTTTGGCCTGGCTATTTCTCCAGCCCTCAAGAAGATGGTTTATGCATGTGCTTATTTATGTATGAATTTATTTATTTTTGGCTTTTGGAGACAGGGTGTCTCTGCGTAGCCCTGGCTGAGCTGAACTCACTCTGTAGACTAGGCTGGACCATCTTAACGCAGAGATCAGCCTGCCTCTCTGCTTCCCAAGTGCCGGGATGAAAGACCTGCCTCACCGTAGCCTGGCATATTTATTTTGAGAAGGCCTCTTGTATCTCTGGCTGGCCTGGGGCTTTGAGCTCTCTCTGCCTGAGTGCTGGTGTTAAAGGTGTGCTCCATCCTGCCCAGCCAAGCTCATGAATTTTAAAAGTGATGTCAAGACTGAGAAAAACACGAGCCATGTCTTAGTGCTGGAGGTTCAGGCCGGGGCCTCTGATGGAGGCAAGTGCTCATCCGCTCACCCCCCCCCCCCATTCTTATTTTTCTGGGTAGGATGAGTTTGTTTCATTGGTGCTATTCATCCAGGGATGAAGGTCTTGCTCTGTTTGTGTTTCAGGATGGAAGGAGGAGAACTGTTTGACCGGGTGGTGGGAAACAAACGCCTGAAAGAAGCCACCTGCAAGCTGTATTTCTACCAGATGCTTTTAGCTGTACAGGTAAGAGAAGCCCTCTGGTGTCAAGCAAGGGCCCAGGGACTGAGTTTCTGTGTCTGTGTTGTTCTGCTCTAGGCAAAGAACCAAACCAAACCAAAAGTCCCTTCCCCCTGTCACTCAGATGATAAAGCTCTTGCCATGTGTGTAAGAGACCCTGAGGAAGGGAACTAAGGAAGCGAGCATATCACCAGGTCTGCTGGCACAGCCTGGAATCTCAGCTGTTTAGGGAGGGAGGTTAAGGCAGGAATCTCAAGTTCAAAGCCAGCTCCCTCCAGCAATTTAGAGAGAGCTTGTTTCAAATAAAAATGGAGAATACTTCAGAGGTTGAGTGGTTGCCTAGCGTGCACGAAGCCTTGGTTCTCTCTCTCTCTCTCTCTCTCTCTCTCTCTCTCTCTCTCTCTCTCCTTCCCTCCCTCCCTCCCATCTTCCCTCCCTCCCTCCTTCTTTTTTCTCTCTCTCTCTCTCTCTTTCTCTCATCTCAGGAAAACCAGAATCCACATAACCCACCTATGCCACCTGTCTAGGGTCTTTCTGGAGGGGGACTGATTTTGCACCTGCCCGACCCTTGTGGCAATGACTTGGTTTGCAGAGTATAAAGGTGAGGATGAAAGCAAGGCTGACCACTTGGGATGATTGAGGTAGACATTTGTTCTTCTACAATCCAGTAATGTGTTCCACAGGAACAGTGAGGACTCAACCTCTCCCCACAACCTCTTCCCACCTTTATTTTTCTTTTCACAGTCCTGGGGATAGAATGCACTGCACAGCCCTATATATAGATACACACACACACATACATACACACACACACACACACACACACACACACACACCATACACCACTCACATACCCACCACCACCATCACATGCACTCTTACACATATGCTCACACATGCTTACACACACTACACGATACACACAACACTCATCTACACACTCAGAACACTCTCACATGCATAGACACACACCACATACGTACTACATTCACACAAAAAACAGTCACACATACACCACATACACACTACATATACACACCACACATACTACACATACACACACTACACTCATACACACGCACAATACATACACATACACACAACACACCTAACACACTCATATCCGCCCACACTCACACTCACATCACACTTTCTCACATAGCACGCACACATCACACACTTTTGTTCACACATGCATCATATATACTCAGAATACTCACAACATACACACACACTCCCACCACATTACCTATATCCCTGGTAATTACCTATTTCCCTTTGTAAGATTTATTTTTTTTATATAGGATCTCATATAGCATAGGCTGACCTTAACTTCACTCTGTAGTCAACCTGGCTTTGAACTTTTGGTTTTTTGCTTTCACCTCCCAAGTGCTTAGAGTACAGGTGTGCACCACCGTGATTGGCTTCACAGTTCATTTTTTAAAAAAATTTTTTTTTTTACTTATTTATTTTATGTATATAAGCACACTGTAGCTGTCTTCACACACACACCAGAAGAGGGCGTGAGATCTTATGATAGATGTGTGAGCCACCATGTGGTTGCTGGGAATTGAACTCAGAACCTCTGGAAGGGCAGTCAGTGCTCTTAATCGATGAGCCATCTCTCCAGCCCTTCGCTTTTAATGATGTGTGCAGGATTTGATTCCTTATCAGTTTATTATTTCCTTGTATACTGACCAACAACAATGAATTTTACACAGCTCTGTAGATGTAGGATATTTTTTATTCGTAAAGAGTTGGTATTTTGTCTGTTTTCAGTTTTGCATCCTATTTCCAACAAGAGAAATTTAAAGTACTATAAAGCTAGTTTTTGGACCTAGGAATAGATTAGTAGTTTAGTTTTTGGTTATTTTTGATGTTTATAGCACTGGGGGTTAAGCATAGTTTATGCTAGGCATGTCCTATATCTCCAGCTTTCAGAATATCTCTACTTTGTGTGTATATGTGTGAGAATGTATATGTGAGAGTGTGTGTGTGTATGTGTATGAGAGTGTGT